GTACCTAGTCGACTAATAACTAACTTAGTTAGTAGGACGACCACCACTTCCCTTACCTACTAACTAGTCGTCGTAGACGACCACGTACGTCCCTCCTCCTCTCTCTCTCTCTCTCTCTCTCTCTCTCTCTCTCTTTCTCTCTTTCTGCCGTTGTTGTTGTTGTTAGTGGAAAGCTCCATCATAGATTGATCTTTACCATTATGGTACTTTATCAAACGTAAATATGAGATCAATTACTAGAATTTAGAAAGAAGCAACCTTAGGATATCTTTGATATAATATTCTAGGGGTCTTTACATTAATTTGAGTTTTGAAGTAAATGTTTGTTGTTCGTAATGACCCTTTTCCAACAAATTAATATAAATGCTCTACTTTTCGAGCAACAAATAGGGGCATTAAGATTCGATTTCTTGGGGGAATGGAAATTGTCGTCATTGCCAATGAAGAATACCTTTATATACAATTCATAAGAAACAAAATAAGGAAAATATGTATCATTCAGGGTTATGGATAAAAAGAACGAGGCTCTCTGATGCTTTTCTTTGAGTTCTTTCTTAGGATATATGTTTCTCCTTTTTGAGATGCTACCTTGTAAGCTCATCATTTCCTTGTCTTATATTTCTTTTGATTGGTAATATATTTGATTTTGTTGCTCATTGAGAGGGACATACCGAGACTGCTTTGAGTTTCACAGTCTTCTTCTCCTCCCTTATAACTTTGCTGTAATGTTAGTGGGTTTATTTATGGTGTTATTGCAGAGATCCAAATCTAGTTCAAAAAATTGGGGAAGCAACTGCCATTGAAGTTCGTGCAACAGGGATCCCCTATACATTTGCTCCATGTGTTGCTGTATGTGCCTATTAGCCCTTGATACTCATGACCTAACGTTTTCTAATATGAGACCTTGCACATTTGTTGTTGGCTGCAAAACTAAAAAGATAATCTATGACAATAATCATCAAGATGACCCCTTTGACTGGAGGGGCACAAAGGAAAGTGGTATTTTAGTACACTTTACCTCTTGGTATGCCCAAGAAAAACATATCTTGTTCGGACATGCAAAAGCAAGCAACTCTTCATTCGTGGGACCTCACTTCTATGTTTCAAAAGCTTGCTTATGTTTACCTAGGAACATCTCTTTAGTTTTTGATGAGTACCTGGAGAGGTTCCTCTCTCTTTCTCTCTGTTCCCGGTATTGACTCAGCCAGATCTGCCCGTGTGTGCATTCACGCTTGCATGCTTGTTTGGGCGATCCTGTGTGAGAGTTTTTGTTTTGGGGATGGTTCAGGTTAACGATTGGAATAAGTGCATCAACTTTTTGGAGGAGAGATGCATTAAAGTAATATAGAGTTCCATAATTATTTTTGTGTTAAATAGATTCTAGAGTTCCATAATTATTTTTGTGTTAAATAGATTCTACAGTTCCATAATTATTTTTGTGTTAAATAGATTCTAGCTATTTTTTTGCCCCCCTGGTCATATTTTGAGCCCAAAATTTATCATAATGCAACCTTGATTGGAGCAGGTTTCCAGAGATCCAAGATGGGGAAGATGCTATGAGAGTTACAGTGAAGACACTGAAACAGTGAGGAAGATGACCACCATTGTTCAAGGGTTGCAAGGATCACCACCCCAAAGCCACCCTAAAGGCTATCCTTTTCTTGCAAGCAGGTGAACCAAGAGCCCATTCTTCTTGTTGTTTTCCTATTATAGCTGCAATCGATATTTCTTCATAATTCTATGCTATTTTTTTCTTCGATTTGAAAAATATAGGTGAAGGATCTTCCTTTTATCTTTTTGATGTTCTTTATCTAAATGTATTATACATTCATTATTGATAGTAAACAAAAGTATGGAGAAGCTTTTATTTGATGATGAAGACAAACTTCCTTGATCTTTTTGGATGAAAGAGTATATTCCACTAAAATTTCCAGCTCTGCTATAGAATTTTCAAAAGTTTTTGGATGAAAAGCACATTATTGCTCTAATTCTTGACTCTTAGGCAATGTTCCTTTTTTAAAACTATTCATTGTTTTCTTTATATGGAGAGTAGTAATTTGGCATCCTTCTCAAAATTGATAGTTTTTCTTAAGAAATATTTTATCTTTACCAATGTCTTAAAAAACGGTCCGTCTGGGCGGCCTAGACCAAAAATCCGCATGCCTATACCCAGGCAGCCCTACACGGGCGGATGTACCTGGGTAGGCGCCTAGGCAAGCACCCAGGGCCGTAAGGCCTTTTTTGTTTTTTAAAATCGCCGGGTCATTTTGACCCCCAAGGTTGTATAAAAACATTATGAGGGTTTATTTTTAACCCCAAAGTGAAAAAAAAAAAAAAACCTCAATATATGAAAACCCTCCAAGTGAAAAAAACTACAGGGCGCCCGCCTAGGCGCTCACCTGGGCATTGGGTGCCAAGAAGGCCGCCTAGCTTTTTTTGAAACCTTGATCTTTACTTCTTTTCCATTTTTTTGTGGTTTACTGAGTTTAATATTATCCTAAGTGGTTGATTGTTCTTTATTAAAAGTGTGGTTCTCATAGATACCATCAAAACCAGAAATTTAAATCTGTAAAATCAATTGATTGCAGAAAAAATGTGATCGCTTGCATGAAGCATTTTATAGGGGATGGAGGGACAAAAGGAGGAATCAATGAAGGCAACACCGTAGGAAGCTTTGATGAGCTTCACAGTGTTCACTTGAAGCCTTTTCTAGATTGCCTGGATCAGGGGGTCTGCACTGCAATGGCCTCTTATTCAAGCTGGAACTCCATGATGCTGCATTCTCACCATTTTCTCCTCACCCAAGTTCTGAAACATCAATTGGGTTTCAAGGTAAACTTTCCACTTATCATGGATTCCATTGAATGCTAAAGTACGGTGTTTGACACAGATACAAGTCTCATAAACTCCAAGTACAATTCTTGATGTGTAAGCTTCTAACATATTGATATGTGTGTACTGATGGTTGCAACTTGATGTGTAAGCTTCTAACATATTTTACCTTTCAAATATAAAAAGAAGTTAATTTATGGGATCTTCAGGGTCATAGAACAAGTTCTCACCTTCAATTTACCACTCCTGAAATGGTTAAAGAAATTGAGCTGTTTTGTTTCAGGGCTTTGTGATCTCGGATTGGGAAGGTATTGACAGGTTATGTCAACCTCAAGGCTCAGACTATCGCTTCTGCATATCAGCATCCATAAATGCTGGAATAGATATGGTTGGTGCCAAACAACTTCACTCTCTCTCTCTCTCTCTCTCTCTCTCTCTCTCTCTCTCTCTCTCTCTCTCTCTCTCTCTCTCTCT